TTTATTTGTAATTGTTGTTTATCTTTATTTATAATTGTCATTTATCTTTATTTCTAATTGCTGTTTAGTTTTATTTTTAATTATCGTTTATCTTTATTTGTAATTGTTGTTTATCTTTATTTATAATTATCGTATATCTTTATTTCTAATTGTTGTTTAGCATTATTTTTAATTATCGTTTGTCTTTATTTGTAATTGTTGTTTATCTTTATTTATAATTATTGTTTATCTTTTTTTTTTTATGGTTGTCGTTTATTTTTCTATGATTAGTTTTTTTAAAATTCAATGATAAACCATATAATTCATTAAAATCACGCAACCACTTTTATAATTTAAACACACAACATAATTTAAACACGCTTAGATAATTTAAACACACTTACATAATTTAAACACACTTACATAATTTAAACACACAACATAGCTCATTGCCTATCTCATTCGCATCTCCAAATGTAGTTGTTCAAATCATTTCTTAGATTGTGATGCACTTGTGAAGCACGAACTCTATTATGACGGACCATGTAGTCTAAGATAGTTTGTCTGTCTCGGTTCATATCGTACGTGATAGTTGGCTCAAGTTCATAAGCAAGTCTTGCTCTTGCTCTTTTAGATGTTCGTGGACAATTATCTTCATCATCAGATTATGCATCTAGATCCTCATACTCATCCTCAACAATCATGTTGTCCAATATTATGCACGTCATCATGATTGAATGAAGTTGTTCTTTGCGCCACATACGTGCAGGTCCCCTAACAATTGCCCATTGAGCCTGAAGTATTCCGAAGGCTCTTTCGACATCCTTCCTATAAGCCTCTTGTTTTTGGGCAAATAGTCTTTTTTTTTTAGTATCCGGTTGGGAAATCGCTTTAACCAATGTAGCCCAACGAGGGTAGATACCATCAGCCAAGTAATAACCCAAATTATATTCATTTCCATTGACAACATATTGGATATGGGGAGACACTTCATTCACTACATCATTGAACAAAAGGGAACAAGTTAGAACATTGATATCGTTGTTCGATCTGGCAACGCTAATAAACTGGCATGCCCAAGTAGTGGGGCAATTCTTCCATTCCCAATGCATGCAGTCAAGACTGCCTAACATGCCTGAAAATCCTCTGCGATTAGCCTTGTGCAAGAGCCTGTAAGGGTCGGCCGGATTTGGGGAACGAAGGTACCACTGACCATACAAGGCTTTAATAACAGAACAAAACTTTCGCAACCATTCAAGGGCTGTAGATTCACCTAATCTACAGTACTCGACGGTGGAGTCTGCAGAGCATCCATATGCGAGCATTCGAAAAACGGCTTTTAGCTTCTACTCTTGGGATAGACTTTGTCGTCCACAAGCGTCTATCTTCTAGATAAAGTATGGCTCATGTGCAACAACATCATTCAAGATGAGATAAAAAAAAGCTCTCTTCTCATGCGGAACCGCATGCGAAAGTTTACTGGGGGATAAAGTGGTCTTTCACAGAAGTAGTCCTCCATGAGACTTTTATGATGTTTTTCTCTCTTTCGATTCTTGTATTCACGGCCTGCAACAGAATCATCATGTTTGGATTGTTGAGCATATTGCTCAAACAAAAACGTATGGTGTTGAACAGCCATTGCAACCCTCTGTTGATAAAGGTCATCATCATCAGAATCATCATTGAAGAAATTTTGTATAGCCTTCCCACGTGAATTCATTGTAAGAAGGAGAATTGAAGGAGATTGTGTGGTCAATTCAGTAGAATAACACTTCTTAAATAGACAAGAGAATGAGATGACCTACATGTTTGAAAATAATTGAATGAAGATAGGAAAATATAAGGAACGATAAGGGAATCTAGTAAAGTGAGATGAACAAAGATGAGCAATGGTTCAGAACGTGATTCAAACAAGACAAGATGGGAAATGGTTCATAAAATAATTGAATGAAGATAGGAAAAGATAAGGAAAGATAAGGGAATCCAATAAAGTGATATGGACAAAGTTGAGCAATGGTTCAGAACATGATTGAAACAAGACAATAGGGGATGAGAAAGAGTTTAGAAAATAATTGAAGAACACAAGTGGAGGTGGGCAAAAGTTCAGAACATTATTAAATGAGGATAAAGGAATCCTATGAAGTAAAAGTAAAAGTAAAAATGGAAGAAAATTATGGCAATGGCTTCAATGAAGGGTTCGAATTATTTTGGGCATACGTATGGTGTTGTACTTATTTTTATTTTTAAGTGAAATTCTATTATGTTTTGGAATTTTAATTTTTTTAGATTAAAATGTTTAGAAAATTAAATCACGAGTATTGAAACAAAAATAATGTCAAGAAAAATTAACAAGAAAAAAAATTAGGAGTTATTCATTCTTAAACAATTTAATAAAGTTGTGGACTCAAACTATGAGTCTGCAAGATTGGAAGAAAAAAAAAATTGAGTCCTGAAAATACATGAATAGTTGTATTTTGGAGGGTGGAAATTTGAGTTTAGCCCAAACATGATTGGAGATGGTCGTACTTATCTTCATCATTTGCCCTGGCAAATGAAAGTACTCTAAGATCAAAAAATTCAAACCCAAGCACCTGAAGTTACATTTCCCTTATCTCATATGGACCATTTATGACTTATTGGTTTATATCACAGAAGAATTTGAATTAATATAATTTTTATTTCACAAATAGGTATGTAAAAATAGGCCCAAAGCTTGAAGGCGCAACCTAAAAACCGTTACCTAGGCTCTATGGCCCGATTGAAGCTTGCTTTTGTTTTTGTCAGTTAGTTACTATTATTATTTTTCACTTTTAAAATATAAAAAAACTATATAAATATATATATATATATATATATACAGAGAGCTTCTATTGAGTATTTAAAAAAAAATGAGGATTATTTTTTCTTAGTAGGAATGTTCTTATTAAATTTGAAAATGGATAAACTTGCTATTAGCTTAATTGGGTTCATGTCTTGAGTTGGGTTTGTCAATCTTTTATGATCCTCCTGATAGTATTAGGTATTTTCTTGGTGAAGATTTATTTGGAGTCTGTAGGCCTCAAGTCATTATTTAGTTTCTTTATTGTGCGGTAGCCCTGTTTCTTCACCCCAAAAAAAAAAAATAAATCCAAAGGTAGTTTGCAAGTGGGTTAGGACAATGTGCCCGCGTTTTGCATCTGAGTTTGAACTCTTTTTACGTATATTATAGAATAGTTCAGAATATCATTTTTGTAAAATAATAATAATAATAAAATGGAGGTTTCTGTTTTTATTGCATAAGTTTCTTTTAGTATGCGTTTATCAATAGTTTAATTGGACAAAATTGCCCTTATTTATTTTTGGATTTCCTAAGGAATCCTTTACATTTGTTTGTCTTTAGTTTGAAAGTTGAAAGGTTTTTCTGTTTTTTATATAAAAGTTTTGGTTTTTTTCAAAAGTGAAATGTTTTTTGTGGCTAAAACCTAAATTTACTTTTTTTTTGTTATATCAATAATGGTAGGAACACCAAATTTGAGTCCAAATGAGATGGCATCAGCCATATCATCAGATTTTCAATTATATTTACACATATGCTAAGCATCAATTTGTTTATTTTGACACAAAAATTTAAGGGAGACTTTGGAAAAACACAAAGGAGAGAGAAATTTTGTAAAAGAAGCCAAAATGGACAAAATTGCCCTTATTTATTTTTGGATTTCATAAGGAATCATTTATATTTGCATGTCTTTGATTTGAAAGTTGAGAAGTTTTTCTGTCTTTTTTGAAAAAGCTTTGGGTTTTTCCAAAAGTGAAATTTTTTTTTTGGCTAAAACCTAAATTTACTAAAATTTAAAAACTAAATTATAAGTTAACCTAAAAGCCACCACTTCAGAACACTCGTGTTTCACCACCACCAATCCTCCTTCCATTGTGCCTACCTCCCACTGCGTTGGTCCTTACCACTCTAAAGTCTAGACCACTAGATAACCAAATTAATCAAGAAACAAATGCGAGGACAACCTTGGATCATATAATCCCCATAGCAAAATTGTTCTTTGTTTTATGGGCGAACAGGTGGGCTTTCCAGTTTCAAAGGCAGGATCCCAAAACCTCGAATTATGCCATTGAGTTGCAATGAAATCCTTTGTACAAATCCCATATTTGATGGATTCACATATCGAAGTTTATTTTGTTGATTATACTCAGGAGCCATAGGATAGTTTAACATTACAAGGTGATTTTTGACTTTGTAACAATTGGAACAAGAAAATAAATAAATTCGGTGTATCAATAAGGGGCAGTTAAGCTTTGCTGGAGCAATAGTCTAAAATAGAAAATTTGAAATTATTAGAAATAGAAACATAGTTAATTTAGACAACAAAAACATAAGGAAAACATAGCTAATTGAAATTACATGAGCATGCTTTCCAATTCTCTAATGTTATAGGCACCAACTCCTTTGTTGTGGCGCCAAGGAGAAAAGCAAACTTAGCTGCATTTTCCCCATGTGGGTGGCCTCGAGGATTGAATTCAACTAGGAGCTTATTTCTTTGGTGCCACAACAAGGGAGTTGGTGCCTATAAAATTAGAGAATTGGAAAGATATTTCTGAAGACTTCATGCATCAGTTACTAAATAAATCGTACGCCTCAATCCCATTATTGTTCCAAAGCTCGTTTAAATCATCAATTAGTGTCTCTAAATATACAGCTATATCATTTCCTGGCTACTTGGGGCATGAGATTAATAATGACAATACCATATTATCCTTCGACATGCATAACGAAGGGGGAAGATTGTAAATAATTAGCATCACCGGCCAACACCTATATCTAGACTAAGATCACCAATGAGATTTAACCCATCAGTTGAAAGGGCCAATCTAAGATTGTGTGGATCCGATGCAAAACTAGGATACTTACGATCTATTTGTTCCCATGCAAGTGAATCAACCGGATGTCTCATCTTGTCATCCTGACTTTTATGATTGGAATGCCATAGTAACTGTTCAACCTTTTCAGGTGAATAGCGCAAGACCTCTTAAGTTTGGGTACTATAGGAAAATAGCGCAAGACCTTAACAGAGATTCCCTTGTGAATCTTATTAGTGCGCTCATTAGTTTTCCACCTTGAAGCATCACACTTTGGACATGTATCCATATGCTCAAGGTAATTCCAAAATAAACAGCAGTCATTCACACATGTATCTATCTTTTTCATAACCTAGATCAAATGTCTTTAGTAAATTTTTTGTTGAATACAAAAGAATCAGGAAGTGTGTTCCCATCTGGCAGCATGTCACGCAAAATTTCAAGCATAGCTTTAAACTTGGACAAGACAACAACTGCAGACATCTTCATGTAATTCATACAACCAGGAAATAAAGCAATTTCAGCATCTTCCAACAAACTTGTAAACCTTGGCTCTTCTATCTCTTTTATGTGTTGGTTCCACAACACCATCATCTTGGAAATAAGCATCTCTATACGTTCTATACATATCAGGCTTTTCTACATCTTCACTGGCAACCTAGGGCGATGGTGAGGCTGATTTTAAGTGGATCCATAAATCTAGAACCCAAATTCGATCAAACAAAATCAGAAATCCAAGTAGCATCTTGGATTCAATAATAAATCGTACATATAGAATCCAAATTCAATCAATTAAAAACAAACTTTCACATAGAATCCATGATAAAAGCAAGTGAATGACATCTAGAACTGAACAAAAACTCAATATCAAGCATGGAGGATAGGGATTTCAAAAATAGAATCTTAGGAACTGTCACTGAGAATTCAGCTTTGCTCGAGCAATAGTCTTCTAGCAAACGGGGAACTGGAGCTCTCGATTAACTGTGAGAGAGAATCCAGAAATTGTGAGAGAGGGAGATGAAGAGAGAAGTGGAGCTATAGTCTTTCACAGCTTTGCTTGAACGTTCACGTCTAAATGAAAAATAAAACGAGGGAAATTATAAAAAAAAAAATTCTTATATTTTTAGCGAATTGCAAATATATTGGGGGGTTTCAGCAAAAACAAAATTGAATTACAAATTACGGCGTACTCAGTCGCGCGTCATAATATATATATAATTTGCATTCTCGGCGTATTTAAAATAACGGCGTTAAAATACACAGAAATTACCCTTTTAAGGCATGTTTTCATATGCCGTAAATGTAAGTTATTAACAACACGCTTTATTATCTTTTTAAGGCGTTCTTTGTCATATGCCATAAATATCAGTTATTAACGACATGCACAAAAAAACGTGCCGTAAATATCAAATCGTATGCACAAAAAAACGTGCCGTAAATATCAAATCGTAAAAGCTGTAATTTGGTGTAGTGTCATTACATGCCACCAAATAAGGAGCTTGGTTATATGCCCGTGGTGCATACATAAACCTCATCTCACCTTTCCTAATTGTCGGCCCAGTTCCCTAATGTCAAACCCCAATCCCATCCAAAGCAGCCTCAACCGCCACCTTCCCATTCAGTTCAACATTGCGATGATAGATTGAGAATCAGATACCACTTCTAAATTGTTAATGCCACTAGCCGCACATCTGGTCATAGCCTCCCTGATCGCAAGAGCCTCCACCATCGGTGCAGATTAACAATGTAAGTCTCCAACGCCCCAGCCTCAATTAGCAAACCATATTGAGCACGTCACACCCAACCCACACCTCCTCTCAAAGTATGCGCTAACCACACGCCCCAGCGCAGTTCAGTTTGACCATCCCATCCGCTTGTTTCCTCCACCCCTGATCATTGACCTCGTTGCTTCATTGTCCATGGCCCATGTCACATTGTTGTAATTTTTTCAACGCTTGCATCTCCCCGAACTCTGGAACTTGCTTCGACCATAAGGCAACATCTTGGGGATCAATTGATTTCCCCTCAAAAATCGCCTCATTCCTACACTTCCAAATCCTCCATAGGCCAAAAGCCAGCCACTGTATAAGTTCCCCCGCATGTTCAAAGCTCCGGTTTTCAGAAATATGCCCTAAAGCCATAAATAGTTACAAAATTGTAGAGGTAAATTCAGTTTGATGTCTACTACATCAAAGTGAGGCTTCTTTCGTTTCATAGCATTCACTGATGATTACTCTTGATTGGACTATGTGTATCTCATAAAACACAAATCCATATATTTTGAAATAATTTTAAAGTATTGAAGAATGTATAAAAGAGGAGCATATTGTCAATAAGTATTAAAACCTAAATGTATCCTTCTTCTAGAATCTCGGTTGGACATCACTTTTCCCTTCTTCTAGAATCCATCTTAGGATGTTTTGTGTGCCCTTCCTTCTTGTCTCCTTAGTCCTCATCATGAATTTTCTCCATCACTCAATATAAATTCTTGGAGTCTTATGGTGTCACTTTTTCTGGTGTCCACTAGGCCTTAGCTCAACTGACGAGGGGAAAAGTGGGATTAGGTAGGCCTTTAGTTTTGAAGTCTTAAAATTAGAACAAGTATCAGTTAATAAGATTATTTAACTTTCCTTGATGACCAAATTGTTTGAACTTTGACTGGCATACCAGTATAAGATTTTAGTATTGATGCAAGACAAACTCTTTTCTTTCTTTCCAAATTGATTATTTTACTCTTCAACAGAAAGTGATTTTAACCTGATAACCAACACCCTAGCGAAATTAGAGAATATTTTCTTTTATGCCCACCACTTGTAGAGGTGTAATTTTGCACAACGTTTATGATCCTTCTCGTGCACAACTTATGAAATTCCCCATGATAGGAGTCGAACAAGTTTATTGTGGCAGACAAACCTGTAAAACAGACAAGATGAAGTTTTTTGTGCAGAAAAGAACATGCTTCTAATGGTTTCTTTGATGAGAATGAGAATTCTATTAGATGACTATTGTCCTCAGGACTCTATCTTGTATTTACGTTTATCCCATGTGGGATTCCTCTTGGTTATCTGATTACATTGTATTCTTATCATACTTGATATAGAACTCTATCTGTAATACTATATAAATCAATACAATATGCCCTCATGATGATTGAGGCTTTACCCCATACGTTCCTATTCTTTCAAATTCATCTTCTAACCTTCTAGATAGATTGTTTGCTGATGTAAGAATATAATACCTATGGCGTTGACATTTACACGAAAATGGGTTTAATTATATGTATGATCTGCAGTATGTAGAAGATCCAATTTCTTGTAGAACGTATTGTTAGTGGCAAGGATTATAATTTGAAGAATGTGTTTAGAGTTACTGTTAGACTTGGTACCTATGTAATGTATTTTAAGTTTTTGTTGTTAATTTCAACGTCCAATACTTATCTAATGGCATAAAACATGTGTGCCTTTCTTATCAAACTACTTGAGAATTGAGATCAAGTTATAATTCATAAATGGAAAATTTAGTGCACAATAGAAACTTGTTACATGCATTCCAAAGGGATCGATATACAGAAGAAATTAAGCAAACACTAATGCCTTATTTAAACAAGAAGCACAGATACTTCAATTCCTTCAGGATTTGTCCGAGTCTTGTGACGAATCAGAACTTGAGGAGGGGTATCCGATTCCATGGCGTTTATTAGGGAACACACAGAAAACAGTACAGGCAATTACACCGATGACAGGAGGCAACACCTGCAGCAAAACCTTCTCAGTGGACTCAAACCCTGGATAGAAGCACCTGACACTGTTGGTGTCCAAAAGTGACACAACTGCAAACACAATCAAGGAAAAGAAGGCATGCACAAAGTCCCCAAACCTAAGCTTGTAAGCAGACAAGTCCACGGAGTTGGAATTTCTTGAGGGCCAAAGACCCTTAGCTGTTGCAACCCCATAGTGGGTTTTTCCATCACTGCCGGTGTAACTATCAGTGAAGGAAGCAAAACAGCAAGAGAAACCGGAAATGGCGATGAGAATGGCGCTTAGGAATTTGTTGACGGTGGCGCAGTGGCCAGTGTTGGACAAGACAGGGTTGAGGAACTGGAACAAGAAGACGGTGCCAGTTGGGAGGAGCTTGATGAGGTTGCCTGCTGCTGTGAATGTTTTGTCTTTGAAAGTTTTCTTTTTGGTTGTTAACAATGACACTGTATTGGAGGAAGTGCTAGTAGAACCCCCCATTTGGGAACTAATGTGTTGTTGAGGGAGTTATTGGAAGTGTTCTTTGTGTTGTGGTTCTTTGATATAAAAATATGTCGTATATATATTTATAGAGAAAATGAGGGAATTGGTTTGTTTATGTGATGACAGAGAGCACTTGCTTTCACGTTAATTGAAAAATGGTTTTGTCGTGTTGATTTGGAAAGGTGGCTTTTACTTTTAGAAAGGCCGGACTTCGTTTCTAATTCAAGCTTAGAGGAACAGGATAAAGATGCGGATCCTCTGCTTGGATTTTCTACACATTAACAACTCAATTTCAATATCTAATATCTAATTCTCCCTCTATGCCTTTCAATTTTGTAAGCAAGATTTTTTTTAAAGTTCCTGTGGATGGGACAGTCATCAGAAAGACCCATCCATCCACCATTCCAACTACCGAAGTCAAAGAGCTACAGACCAACACAACAAAGTTGTTCAAAACAACACTGTTCTGAGATGGTGCGGCTTCCTATGGATGAAGGAGCAGGGATTGACGACTAAGAGGGAAACAGGTCGGGGAAGATGGAATAACGGCTATGGGAGAAGTGTTGTTGCTATTTTGTAACTCACGATAAAAGGGAGCAACAAAGGTAGTCCAATTGCATTGTGCAGTTATCAATTAAGATTTCACAGCCAGAAGAATACCGCATGCCAAGTATCAAATATAATATGAATGAAATGATGGAAGATGAAGTCCAAAGAAGTAGATAGTAAGTGGTGGTGATGCATGCATGTGAAATTAATTTTTTTTTTATATTTATTTATAAGATTTAGTACATATGATGATGAAGATTAGGTTGAAATGATTGATTTTTAATGTAACATTAATTATCTTTTTTTTTAATTATTATTATTTATAATAATTTCATCTCCCTAGAAATAGACGCACAAGTCTTCTTTTCAAATAGGCTAATATACGGTTTAAGGTTACCTCTCTCAATCCCTCTGCATACAAAATAAATAAAAAGTATGATAAGTCCCATGTAGCACCTATAATTGAAAAAATACGTCTCGCATATATGAAAGCGCGTACAAAGAGGCTTAATACACTTGGAATAAATTGTATTTGAAAACTTAATAATGTATACATTTACTCTTAATCTTTATTAAATTGTCTTTTATTTCACAAAGTACGAATAGCATGCATTTATGATTTCTCTAACATATCACTCACTCACTTTCTCTAATGACGCCGTAAAATAATTATCGCGAAATTTGATGACTAATGCATGCAATTAGCATGCATAACATGTATATGACAATCTACTTTTTAATGAACTCTTATCCACAACAAACTTGCAATATGAACCCCTCATGTCATAGAGATTTGATTCATTCATCTTCCATTAATGGCATCATGACCCAGATACACAAGGAGGATTGAATAAACAATCAACGTTTGCGTTGTACGTAATATGCATATGGGTATATATTAAGCGTGTCAAACTCAAAGATATAATAAAGCAATATAATACATGCAAGTTGCTAGTCAAATGAAGAATAGTAAATAATAAAAAACTTTGGTAGGGTTAACTGACATACAAAGATATTAATGAATTATGTCACAAATTCACATTTATTCACGTTTGTATGATCGAACGATTATAATCTATTAATCGGAGTGTGGGCAATGAGAAAATCATTAGTAGGATTGCCGCCTAGGGCAACATACTCACAAGAGGTGGGACCCTTGCATTTGGTGTCACATGAGTTCACCCCTTGTGAGTTTCTTACCTCCTACAATAACTCTACCCAAGGCTATTTTCTGGATAGAATCGATTGTGGGATCTACACAAGTTTACTGTTCACAATTGCCTACCCACGCTCCGACGACTTTCCTTATATTCCTCCTAATATAGCATATAGAGTGATGTATGTGTGTTATCTACTAGCAATAAATAAATTTTGAAAATGTTGAAAAACCATGCCATGACAACAGTCCGATATTTCAAGGAAATTAAACTCATTTGTTTGGACAAGCAAGTAACCAACACATATCGATGATGCACATGATTGGACTTACAATATCATGACTTGGTGGTATGCAGTTTTCTTTTTTTGGGTCAATGACGTACATGATATTGAAGAATAATTTTTAAACATTATAACGATATTTCAAATCAATCAAATACTATCTTGTACAAAAGTTAAATCAAATGACAATACGTAAGTAACTTTGTGGTGGTATCTCAGTGTGGTAGGTAGGTTTTTCTCACCTGCTCTTAGGCTTTTTTTTTTTCTTTTTTTTTTTTGGGGTGGAACACCTGTTCTTAGGCTGGTAGAGAAGTTTTACTCATTTCGGTGATGATTTTGTTTCATATTTTTTTTCCTTTTTCGGCAGTGCATGAATAGTTCTCGACCGACCAATATTCTTGTTGGACTTGCAACATGCAAACTTTATGGGTTTTGGAGTACGCAGGAAGATGACATGAGATAGGTTTGTATTCATGGGAAGAAGTTTTCTTGACCAAAAACTTTGTTATTTATTGTATATTTGGGCTGTTGAGGTTTGTTTGGGCTACTCTGAGTCTTTTTCTTAATCAGATGGGCTACTGTTGTTCAGGTCTACTTCAGCTACTACGAGAAATTTGGGCAATGTATCCCTTTGTTTTTTTGGGTCAACTGTATCCTTTTGTTTGAGAACATAGAGTCTCATATCTAGAATTCTAAGCCTTACATAACAATATATTGAGCCTGTTTATTCATAATTAATTAGTTTTGAGTTGGATGCTCTAATTCTAATATGATATCAGAGCAAGCGATTTATCCATGCACTAAGCTTAATATGTGGTTGCACATTGACGATTCACATGCTAGGTTCGTTGAATGCGCGCGATGTGGGAATGGGTTGCACATACTATAGGTCACCCAAGGTTTTTATAAATTAAAAAAAAATTGCAGAAATGGAATATTCGATTGAAATGGGTAACGAAAGTATTCAAACCCAGTACCTAAAGTTACAATTCCCTTAAATTGCATGGACGATTTGTGACTTTTCGCTTTATATCACATATGAATTTGAGCTAATAGAATTTTTATTTGCAAGTAGGTATGTACAAATTGGCCCAAAGCTTGAAGGCCCACCCTAAAACTCGCTACCTAGGTTCTATATGGCCCGATCCAAGCTTGCTCTTATTTTACTTTTTTTTTTTTTGGATAAATACCATGAGGTGTCCCCACACTTGAAAGTGTGGGATTAATCCCCGATTGGAGTTTGACTTGCCCTTGGCCACAAAGTGCTTCCAACAAATTTCGAACCCTTGCCATTGAGGCCTTAGGTAGCTCGCCAGCTGGAGGTGACAGTTTGCCAATTGCACCACACCTTGTGGTTACTCTTATTGTTTTTCACTTTTAAAATATCTTCGAAATTTTATTTACACTAGCATCCTTCAGATTTTTAGTGTTTTCACAAAACCCCTTGAGGTTTCAAAAATTATACAAACACTCACTAAGATTTCAAATTGTTTTCAGAAAACCTGTATTTGTTGATTGTTCGTCCAAATATTGATGATTTCATATAATAAAAACTTATGCGAATGACAAAATTAAGCTCAATGAATGTATGTGCAATATAATATCATAGGGTAACTTTGTAATTTGAAGAAATTTTTTTTATATAAAATCATCAATCTTGGAAGCAAAATCAACAAAAATGTGTTTTGTAAAAATAATTTAAAACCTTAGGGGGTGTACGTGTAATTTTTGAAACATCAGGGGATTTTTTGAAATCAAAAACCTCAGGAGATGTTAGTGTAAATAACTCTTTTTACATTAGTCTAAAAAGAGGTTCCTGTTTTTTATTGCATAAATTTTTTATATATAAATATTTATCAATTTCTATTTGAGTTTCCTGCTTGACAAATGTTTTATTTAAAAAATTAGAGTAAACATGGTCTCCCTTAAAAATAGGAGACCATACATTGCTTTCAAGAAAGTAGGAGAAATTATATATATAATGGTACGTTATCGCCACGCCAAATGGTGATACTTCCATTCAAAATTTGTCATGTATATTTGTCATGTGTACAATCTTTTTACAAATAGATTTAACACCCTTTTTTATATTTAAAAACAAATTTTAAAAAAGAAAAAACTGAGAAAATGAAAAATAAAATGCCCAGCAACAATCTGCCTCAATGTCAAAAACCCCACTCCTATACTGCCTGCCATGGAATTGTATCAGATTCCTTAAAAACTTTGTCTGAAATGAAACCTATATTTTCTGGGCTTACAAGACCATAGAGGATTCAATTGATTCCTCAATACCATAAATCCACCCCCTTCCACATCCTCAATCTATTTCGTTGAGCCCTGGATTGAGAGAGAGAGAGGTAGGTGCACTCACTTGAAAAGTGCACGTCCCTGCCATCCATTGCAGAGGCTCAGAAAGTTGAAATATTGCATGGTGGGATGCTTTGGTTTGTCGTTCTACAAAGCACTCAAAGGTTAAAATGGTTGTCTTAGGTTCTTCTACTTCTGCAAAGAACAAGCAGGTGTCAGCTAAAAAAGAAGCAAAGGTAAGGTAAGGAAGGAAGAAGAGGATGACGACTTCATTACGATTGCCGCTCGAGCTAAGAAAAGTCAGGTCAAAGCAAAAGAAGGTAACAAAAGTGGGTTCATCTTCAATCAAGAAAACGATCAAGAAGGGCAAAGTTTTTGTAAGTACTGTAAATCGACAAACGTGGCACCAAGCTCTAATGATGAGCAGGAAATATGGTCTACTTTAGTTCACAAATGGTGCCATCTTCCCACCTTCACACAAGCCTCATGGGGTAAAGATGCTCTACAATGGGGAACCAGTCAACTTAACTCCTCAACAAGAGGAAGAAATTAAAACCTTGTGTGCCTTTCCTATTAAAGTACTTGAGAATTCATAAATGGAAATTTTAGTGAACAATAGAAACTTGTTACATACATTCCAAATGGATCGATACAGAAGAAATTAATCAAACCTTGGCAAACTACTAAACAAACAATGAAAAGCATAAACTTGCGTGAGCAAGCACTGGTGTCATATTTAGGACTACTTGTTAAACAAAGAAGCACAGATACTTCAATTCCTTCAGGATTTCT